TCATACGACCTCCTTTACGGAAGTTTCCCCCGTCGAGTAGGGGGTCTGGTGGGGGGGGGGGATGCAAACCTTTGATCAACTATGGCCGATATCGTTGCACTCTGGCGAGGCAATCTGAGGAGGCTGGAATGACCCTCCCGCTGGGCTGTGTTTTCTGCCAATAGTGGCGTGCTCAGATGAAAAACAACCAATGATGGCAAGGGGTGGGCCCCTTTCACGCCTCCTGACACGTCCTTGCCAGATTGCTGTGATACCAACTGCATCAGAAATAGTAGTTTTGCCATGTCGCCGGAAAAAGAGTCTCTTATGGGCGTTACTGAGAGAAATTAGCTACAATTTCTGTTTGGTAAGAAAGACTGGTCCTGGTTACCACTAACCTGGTGCTCAAGGTACATTCTACGCTCATTATATGGGCGGAGTCGAGTCACCTAGCTTGCTTTCTTTAATGGTGTGTCCCTTCTTATGTCCTAGAAGAAATAGGCGCACCACTGAGGAACATGCAGTGGTTGGCCTGGCTCCGCCCGTACGGCTAGAGTAGAATGTATCCTTGAGCGTGGAGAGAAGACGCAAAAGAGCCATATCAAACATGACTCATGGTCCGAAGGAATATGAGAGACAAGAACTCAACTACCTGCTGCTGGGGCTGCTGCGGATTCTGTTGCTGAGGGTATTGCTGCTGTTGGTACTGTTGTTGAGGATACTGCTGTTGTTGGTTCAGCTGTTGCTGATACTGCTGGTCTTGTGGAGTCAGTGGAATTTGCTGGTAGTACGGCTGTTGCTGGGTGCCTAGGTTAGCATTACCAGCACTGCTTGGTTGTTGTAGCTGCTGTTGCTGGTACTGCGGCTGGTAGTACTGCTGCTGTTGATGTTGAAGGTCTTGATTAGGATCACCAACTGTAGTTGGTTGTAGAAGAGCGGTAGTTGGATAGTAATACAGTGGCGTGTTTGCCACTGGATAGTAGTAGTACAGGTACTGGGAGTAGCACTGTTGAGCGACGAAAAGCAAACATAGCAATGGTAACCTGGAATTAAAAGAACTCGTTAGATTGGAAAAAATACTAGAAAATATTTGGCGAATTAAGCATGATATTTCAACTGTTTGAGAAAAATTTGGAAGTTTTGAGAATTTAAAAACAAGTAAATTAATGAACTGAGTGAAAATAACAGCAAAAACCGATTTAAAAATTCATAAATAGAAAATTGGTAAATTAAATTATTCTGAAAGGAAAACTAGTTGAAGTCGTGCATTGGTACATATTAATTTTAACTTACGTGTTCATAGTAAATGCGAGGTTGGAAGAAAGTAGTAAATACGGGGTTGTCAGTCTTTCTCAGTCTATTTATACATGCCGACCACCCCCGATCTATTTGCCAACGTTTTTTCGTGCTGTCGCTGAAAGAAAATTTCAAGGTGTGAACTTTGCTAAGCGATCAAACCATAGGTAAACTACCAGTGATGCATGCGCTCAGGCATACGTAGATCAAGAAACAAGGAAAGCAGAGAACCAGGCCTAGAAGGGTTAGGATTTTTTGAGAAGCCCTCCTCACTCCCTTCCTTCCCTCCTCGGGAACCAGGGACCAAAGACTTGAACTTCTTCACAGTTATTTGGACCTATCAGAATATCTATCAGAATAGTGTTGAAGCCTTCCCTCGATAGTGGCCTAACTTGCGAAGGATGCGACGGACGATCGAGCGATTCCCAAGGAACGTAGAATACATAGGAGTACAGCAGCAGTGAATATTTCGGGCTTCTGCTTTGTCAAAGGGCATTATGCAGGATAAGTTGAAATTATTGCCAACTAAAATCTAGCAGCTATCTAGTGAGAACAATCGCGAGAAAAATGAATTGAAACAGCCAAAAACATTGAATGAAAAAGCCTCCGTTCTCATGAAGAATCTTCGGATATTAACGCCTAGCATTGACGCCAAGTAACAGATACAGTAATACGGCTGTACCCTAATGGTACTCCTCCCAATACGCTCGGCGTATGTCGTCTCCATTTTGGGCGAGCAAGAAGCTGGCGTCCGGGTTGGTATGTAGCAGCTTGGAAGGCGCTATAATGGATACCTGCCTGTAAACCGCTAGACCGGCTTGCCGATATCGAGGAATTCCCGCCTGCCCAGTTGTTAATAGCCTACTCGTCTCAAGAGTATCGGTAGAACTGCCCTGGAGCGGTGATGCGATCTTGCCATTTCGAAGCCCTACTATGAAAGTAGCGTCAGTACCTAACTCACAGCAAATATCGCGTGTGGCTCCAAAGACGTGATTTGGTGAAGGCCATCTAGTGAAGTGTGGCGATGTTAATGATTTTCATCTACTGCTTGCTTCTATTTCATCTCCCTAGCGCCTTTCCACCGGTGAACCCCCATTTGGAATGAAGGGAAGCGCGCACCAATGAGGATCTCGAAGTGATTGAAGTGACTCCGCCCACATTTCCAAAGTTGAATGTGCACTCACCTTTTTTTTGTAACCAGTGGCACTCTATTTACAGAATCAGGCAACGAGAAGCTCTTCAGCATGGTTCTGCGTCTCAGTCTAGTTCATATGGTATGAACGAGATATGCAAAAGAGGAAAATTCTGAAATTTCTGCTAAAAATTCGGAATTGGTTTCCAGAAACACTACCAATGCCACTGGAACGCAAACCTTTGGTAATTTCGAAAGAGGAGGACGACGATGAGAATACATCAGCGACGAAAACAGTGACGGTGCCAAGAACACTGCTGTAATATTTCTGGGTTTTTACTTCTACAGTCTACAGAAGTGGCTATAGTATATCCAGCACTTTTAATTCTAGGTGTACACCGATGTTGATGCTCCTTCGACTTCATCATCTTGCTCATATGGTACTACTGATCAAAGTATGGAAGTCGTATACGGAAATTCAGCCCTCAATTTCAGGTGCAGCATTCGAATCTGCTGAAGCCAAGATTGGACTAGAGAAACCTAAACCTATAGACGTTATTGACCAACCTAAACCTAATGACGCTGTTGACCAACCCAAACCTGATGACGTTGTTGACCACACTGATACGGTATTTTGGTTTCTTTTCCTTTAAATTACTTCTTGACATCATTTATCCGTATCTAGAAATTTATAATGCATCCGCTGTCCTAGTGACACAGTTCACATTAGTCGTATGGACGGGGTCATGCCCACATTGGAGCTTTCTTATTGGCGTGTGCTTCCTCGTTACCATCTTGGAAGCATGGGAGGCAGTGAGCAAGACACATGGTGGTCTAACTCCTCCCAGAAAGTCACCGCGGAGGGCGCGCATCTCTATGGTAATCAAAATAGTTGAGGCATTTGAGCGGATAATTGTCCTACCGGCATCCACATCTGGCACATGCTGTCTTCTCTGGAAACATTCTTCTCCCTTGTTCTGATGGGCCTACGAAAGATGTAAGCTGCCATGCTTCCCTGTGAGAAATGCATGATGGCTCCGGCAAATGTGTTCGGAGGGAGATGCGTTGACGCAACTGCGCTGCGTCATCTCTTGTCCGGCACCTTCTGAGCACGCCCTCTCAGTGCCCAGGATATGGTTCAACATCGCCGTCGAAGGAATGTTGCCAGATATGGACTAACTGAGGCGGAGGT